TGCCCACATGAGCATTGAAGTCCCCCAGCAGGACAATAGAGTCCCCTGATGGAGCACTATCTAGCACTTGTCTCAGGGACTCCAAAAAGGGTGGGTACTCTGAACTGAAATTTGGCCCATAAGCACAAACAACAGTTAGGACCCGTTCCCCAACCCGAAGGCACAGGGAAACTACCCTCTAGTCCCCCTGGGTAAACCCCAGCACATAGGCAGAGAGTCTTGGGGCTAACAAAAAGCCAACCCCAGCCCTCCGCCTCTCACCCGGAGCAGCTCCAGCAAAGGAGAGTGTCCAACCCCTCTCAAGGACTTGGGTTCCAGAACCAATGCTATGTGTCGAGGTGAGTCCGACTATATCTAGCCGATACCGCTCAACCTCTGCAACAAGCTCCTGCTCCTTCCCCGCCAGCGTGGTGACGTTCCATGTCCCAAAAACCAGTTTCCTTGTCCGGGGATTGGACCGCCAAGTCTCCCGCCTCGGTCCTTCACCCGATCCACACTGCACCGGACCCTTCATGTTCCTCCTGCGAGTGGTGGGTCTACAGTTGGAAGAGGCCATGTATCCGGTTCGGGCTGGGCCCGACCGGGCCCCATGGGCGAAAGTCCAGCCACCAGGTGCTCGCTCACGGGCCCCAACCCCAGGCCTGGCTCCAGGGTGGGACCCCGGTAACCCTCCGGGCCGGGTACTCCGACTCTTTGATTGTATATCCATGAAAGATCCTCTGAACCGTTCTTTGTCTCACCCTTCACCTAAGACCAATTTGTTATGGGAGACCCTACCAGGGGCACAAAGTGCCTCAGACAACATAGCTCCTAGGATCATTAGGGCACTCAAAGTCCTCCACCACGGTAAGGTGACGGTTCAAGGAGGTGAATTACCAAGTATATTTATTTATATTCATTTATTTACTTATGTTTTTAGATTAGTTTAAAACAGATCATTAAATTACAGCTGCTGAGAAGGTTTAACCAAATGGATATCTCCTTTAAAGCTTCTTGTTGTTAAATTCTCATAAATATCCCTCTAAAATTTCCAGTATTATTCACTGTTCAGTGTTGTATTTTATGTAATATAATAATAATAAAAATGAATATTAGTAAAATATAGTAGATATAGTAAAGGGAATAACAATAAAATGTTGATAATCTCTGTAAAACTAAGAGAACTACCCCCACAGAAAACCACAGTAGTAATGATGGGGTAAAGTAAGAGGACAGCTGCAGCGTGAACATGTAAAAAGGTAGAAGCTCTGAGAAGAAACAGAGCAGTAATAACTGAAGGTTTGCATCGGGCTGCTAAAAGGGCAAGCAGGACTTGCAGGCAGAGCTGAGTCACTGATTCTCACCGAGTCTCCTTCACTTTAGCTTTTATAATTTCACAAACCAAAAATAAAAGCACAAGATAAATGAGGATAAATGCAAAAATATAATGGATGCTTGTCCTTAAGGCCGCTGTGTGTTTTAGCCTCTCTCTGCCGAACTCTTCAGTGGGAATACCATTTTAGATGCTAACGGGACCATAATTATAGTGCAACAAATAGAAATTAAGTCTTGTTTTTTTTATTAGGATGATTAAAAAGACAGGTAAAATGGCATAGCAGCTATGGATGGAATAAAAATAACACAAATTTGTGCCAGGCCATTTTCTTGTGAAAACCTCGTTCCATCGTTCATCCGAAACCAAAACCTGACTGCTCTTTTTGCTGCCACGCTGCACAAACGCAATTTCTCTCATGCTTGAAGGGAACCTCATCGGCCATTTGTCTGAAGAGAAATCTTCACTGGGTGTCTCATACTCCATCTTAGACGTTAGGAGGGAGAGGTGGTGGGGACAGGGAGGGTGGCGGACCACTTGGTGGTCCAGTGGACTGGAAAACCTTGCAGCCCCCTGGCAGAAAGTTAGTGCGTGGTCGTATCTGCGTGGCAGCTAATATGGCCACTGGCTCATTAGAGCCCTGATTTAAGGAACACTGTGTGACACTGCCAAGTGGCTCCGTGGAAAGGGTTGCAGAGATGAGCCCAGTGAAGCAAAGTGAGGACATCTCTGTCTCTCAGCCTTTAAAGGCAAATCCATAAATTTAGTTTAGACAAAAGATGGGATTATGGGTCTAACTGGACAATGCACTGGATGGGCAGAGGTGCCCTCACAGTCAAATACAGAGCCGGCAACGACAGGAGCTGCTGACAGGTTGGTTATCAGTGAAAGGAGGCAGAAAAAGGGAGAATAGACAGAAAGAGGAAGGAAGGAAAGAGAAGAGAAAGAAAGAAAGAGGCTGACAAGCTCAGCTCCCCTCCTCCTCCTAGCAATCAAGGAGGTGAGGACACAGAGGGGAGGAGAGGAGAACATAGGAGCTTCAAGCTCAGCTGCATGTCAACCCAATCTTTATATCACATGACGGTTTAAATTGGCATGATGTGTGCTGTGTGGAGTTGTTGGTGTTCCAGCTGATTCCCCCATCAGGAGCCCCATCTCCTGCATGTGGACACATTTCACACCTATGACCTCTGAAATCTGTTTTCTGTTTATAAGAAAAGGTTTTTAGTAGCCAATGCAGATGCCATCCCTCGTGCATGTGCTTGTGAAACTTCAAAAGCACGTTCTATGAAAAATCTTCTGTGGAATCTGTGGATTTGTTGCCGTAAATGGTTCTTGTGCACAAGTTGTTGCCCCTAATTGCCATAACCCCATGGTGTGGATGTATGCAAATGGGAGGCGAAGAATGGAAAATAATACAGTCACTCTGAGGACAAAATGTGGTGGCAGGGAGTGCTGCGAGGGAGGTGGAGAGGGGGGAAATAGCCCCGTTCATCTCCTCTCATTTTCTGCCCGCTACAACCCAGCAGAGTTTCTATGGCAACCCCTCAAAAAGCGGTGTGCGGTGAATTGTGGATTTGAGATGTGCTTTCTGATTGCGCCGTGTGGAGGAGATGGCTGGCTCTTTCGTCAGCCTTCCTCTGTAAGAGGAAATTGGTGGAGAGCTCCAATGAAACAGCACTCCATATGCTTTTCTTTGATGTGTGTGTGCCAGTCTCATGGCTCCATGTCATGTGTGTGTGTGTGTGTGTGTGTGTGTGTGTGTGTGTGTGTGTGTGTGTGTGTGTTTGTGTGTGTGTGCGTGCACGCACCAAAAGCTTTACATTAGAGTCTTGTGCCCCCACCTCTCCCTCTCAGCAGAGCTGCTCATCACTTTGGCACCGAGCAGACTGCACTCAGCTCTCCAAATGAATTTGTCTGGCTGACCGTGTCGACTCATCATGCTCCGAGTTTCACCTGATTGATTCGACGCCACTGATGACGATTCGTTTCTCCTTTTGAATCGAAACAGCGGCGTGCAGCACGGCCCAACGCGTCCTGAGTGAGAAAGTCTTTGGCAAACAGCAGAGACAGTTATCTCCCCCTCTCCTCTTTCTCCTCCCTCCATCTCACTGCCTGTCTTCATCCACAGAGGCTACAACCTGTGTCTGTGACCAGTTCCTTTCTTCTCAGGATCAGGACATGTATGTCATTTAGCATGAGCTCCTTCTGCCTTCATCTGAGTGCCGGTTTGATACTTGTAAGCTGCGCCAGTCCCCATTAGCATCCCATTATAAACCAGCATGATCACTCGTCACTTAAAATGCCTGCCACAGGATGCTCTGTGTGTGTGTGTGCGTGTGTGTGTGTGTGTGTGTGTGTGTGTGAGAGAGAGAGAGAGAGAGAGAGAGAGAGAGAGAGAGAGAGAGAGAGAGAGAGAGAGAGATTTTTTCTGAGAGCACGTGTGTGAACCTGCATGCGAACCACACAGTCAAGTGATTGGGATGACCTTGTTCCAGAAGAACCTGATGAATACGCAGCAGAGCATCGCACTGAGCACAGTTTAATTTCAGTGCAACAACAAGTGTTTGGTTTGTTTGACCCAGATTTCTCACCTTCCCCTCTATTGATACATTGGATATCCGGAGGCAGCCTTGTGCAACTATTTAATTAGGCTGAGATGTAGCAAACAGCACCCTCTGCTGACTGTAAACAGGCTGCACGTGAAGATTGAAACCAGTGATTATTCAGGATTAATGAGATTAAAAGAAGCATCTTCTTTTTTTAATTCTTGAAAAAAGCCATCCACTCAGTGTGTTTCTGTACGAGCCCCTTTAACAGAGTCTTTTCATTGCAAAGGGAAGAGTTGGAATTCTGGTTTTCTGTTGAACATTTTCCTAAACAAGCTATTGAGCTAAAATGTTAGCCTGACAAACCATCCTATATATGTGAAGTCTGGCCACAACCCATACAGATCTCATTCGTGGGGCAGGGTCTACGGTTGTCTTTCAAACAGTCTCCATATGGACAACAAACAACGTGACGTCCTCACCGCTGCAGTTGTCAGTCAGTGGGGCAGTCCGCCATACTCTGTCGAAGAATAATACACTTCAGTAGCTAAAGCTGCTTCGGACTGAAAGAAAAATTAAATAGTCCAAAGTTGATGCCAAAGCCATTTCAAAAGAGCCATTGCCATCTTAGTTTTGCTCAGTCGCAGTAACATCTCGCCCACCAAACCAACATAGCGCTGTGGTTGGCACGCCACCAGACTGGCCAGGGCTGCGGAAGTTCTGATGAGCGTGGCTAAACTGACACGCAGAGCAGTTACTTTGCTTCGGTTACTGTTCGTCTAGATTTCTAGGCTACTAAAATGTAACACTGCAACGAGAGTCACACACACACGCACGCATGCACGCACACACACACACACACACACACACACACACACACACACACACACACAGGTCTGGAGGAATGTTGAGTGTCTCTACAGCCCTCTCCCTGGAGATTAGGCCTCACCATGCATCCCCCAACTTCATTCCATTCCATACTGTGCCCCTAAGAGCTGTTGCATTTTTATCTGAGCCTGGTGATTGTGACAGATTGGCCAAATGACGTGCATGCACGCACACACACACACACACACACACACACACACACACACACACACACACACACACACACACACACACACACAAACCTGCCGAGGGTAGGCTTGCTTTGCTGGGGAGGGACAGACAGTGCCAGGCTCCAGCTATAAAACCCTCCCAGGATGAGAGCAGCGTCCTGCCCTGAGCTGGACGGTCCCCCTTCCTTTGAGCCAGGACACACTCAGGACAGGCGGCAGACGAGCCTCCAGCATGAACGACATCTACAAAGCAGCGGTACGTCCTCTCACTCTCTCAGATCTTTACTCCGTGCCGTTGGCTCGCTCCTGATGAAACAGTTTGGTTTTGTTGGCTACTCACCAAAACTCTGTGAGAACTAATCTGATGATGAGGGTTTCTTTCATTTTAATTCACAAACCTTAACCTTTGAGCTTAGTGTCGCATTCCGCAGGACAGGACTGGAGATGATGACATATTTCCTTCTGAGGAAAGGCTTGACCCTTTGGCGTTGTTAATAATTCATTTAAAAAGTCGTGAATCTGTCTGCTTATCTGAGGTCATTCTGAGGCTTGTCTAGTTCCTCTTGATGAGGCCTGCACACCAACTCCCTCACCTCCATTACCAGCTGATAATAAAAGAGCCTCCCCATCCTCAGACGTCTGTAGAGTTTCATACCTCACCAGCCTCTCATGAGGTCAGCGATGGGACACGTCATCCGTCCCCTGCTTCATCCTTGACTTCAAATGGAACGGTCCCGCTCTGCACGGCTAATTTTGGCCAGTTGTTCTGACGCTTCTGTGTCTGTTGTCCTCTGGTGCCAAAGGAAGCCTTCAGGTCTAAATGCCCCCATCCTCACCCATCCACCAACACCCCCCAACCCTCACTGTTGAATTCCAGCATTATCATTCATCCTAAGAGCTGTGTGGTCATCTGTCCACCTCCCCCACGGTTGGACGGCCGGCTGTCCCGTCCACTCACATCCCAGGCGAGCGGACAGTAAAAGCACCCAGGAATGCGTTTTACACGTGTTTGTTCAGGTGGATTTTTTTTCTTTGTAACTTAAGTGTGTGTATGATCTGCATGTAAGTGTGTGTTTAATTTATAGCGGACGACAGAAGATAACTTTTACATAAGCAGCTGTCTCCCTCTCTCAGTCGTTGTAGCTTTTCCAGGATTACTGTTGCATTGTTGGGCCCACTCCACAGCTATGCTAATTTAAAGCATTGTGGATCGTGTCCTTTATCCATGGTTCCTGACCCTCCTGTTTCTATTTTTAGCTCCTCCTCTAACTGGTGCTCACATAAAATATATAGGTTGTGTGTGTGTGTGTGTGTGTGTGTGTGTGTGTGTGTGTGTGTGTGTGTGTGTGTGTGTGTGTGTGTGTGTGTGTATTGTGTTCAAAGAAAAAAACTGAAACTCTTCATGTCTAGAATAAATGTTTCCATCGTTTACAGGTTGAGCAGCTGACGGATGAACAGAAAAATGGTGAGTAAGATGCTCACAAGAAAAAAAAAGTGTTGTCAGATATAACTTCAGGCCATGGTGGGAAAACCTCACCCTGAAATGTCTTTTTATGTGTTTGATGCTGCAGAATTCAAAGCTGCCTTTGACATATTTGTACAAGATGCAGAGGACGGCTGCATCAGCACCAAGGAGCTGGGCAAGGTGATGAGGATGCTGGGTCAGAACCCGACACCAGAAGAGCTGCAGGAGATGATTGATGAGGTGGATGAAGATGGTAAATTAACAAACACACTGTAGATGTTGTTGACCTCTTTGCACGCACGGATCACCTACCAGGTCAATCAAGATGTGCAGTCAGAGCCTCTGAACTTAATGTCAATGCGAGTCAAAGGTCACACAGACAAAAGGACGTGTCAGCCTGGTTTAAAGAGTGTCAGAAGATGCACAAGTCATCTTCAGTTTTCCACTGATGAATAAAAATGAAAAAAAGCTGCATGTTGGATTTTGCATGCAGAAGAAACTGTCACACTCCCAAAGAAGCATATAGAAGCTTCTTTTCCTTTGGAGAAATAGCTGTAAAGAAATCAAATATGAGTCATCACACGTTGTATTGTGAATGCTATTCACGCCAGCTTAGCTGCTGTGATGGTTAAACTTTTGGGGATGTGTGTGTGTGTGTGTGCGTGTGTGTGTGCATGTGTGTGTGCGTGTGCGTGTGTGTATGTGTGTGTGTGTGTGCGTGCGCGTGTGTGTGTGTGTGTGTGTGTGTGTGTGTGTGCGTGTGTGTGCGTGTGTGTGTGTGCGTGTGCGTGTGTGTGTGTAGGGAGTGGCACGGTGGATTTCGATGAGTTCCTGGTCATGATGGTGAGATGCATGAAGGACGACAGCAAAGGGAAATCGGAGGAAGAGCTAGCGGAGCTGTTTCGGATGTTTGACAAGTACGTTCAAACCTTCGCTCTGTTACCTCCTCTAAAACATTAAAACACGACACAATCCCGAACATTCGGCTGTAAACGTACGAACAGATGAAAGGAAATATCTTCACCAAGCTTTCATCTGAAAGCTACCACAGTCTAGTTATCCAATCGCTCTTTAAGTGTCGTTCCGGCTAAGTCTGCTCTCCGTGTGTAATTATGTGCTCTGACAAAATGCCAAGTAGCTCCACAGAGTGCAGCATGTCGTTTGCTCCCTAATCGTTTCTGACAGCTCAGAGTATTTCAACACCCACCAACATGTAAGTCAGACACCTCATCTGAGCCTCAAAGATCAAACTTGCTTCTCTTTTTTACATTTCCCTCTCAGAAAATCCACATGTCCTCGTGCACATGTCACACACATCCCCCACCCCAATAAAAATGTAGATTTGCATGAATGTTGCTGCTGTGACTGTGCAGAAATGCAGACGGTTACATCGATCTGGATGAGCTGAAGATGATGCTGGAGTCCACAGGAGAAGCGATCACTGAGGATGATATCGAGGAGCTGATGAAGGACGGAGACAGGAACAATGACGGCAAAATCGACTATGATGGTGAGACGTTTACACACAGAAGTGAAATAGTAAAAAAAAAATAAAGATAGCTCTTAAACTACGTATGTTCATTTTATCTTTCCACAGAATTCTTGGAGTTCATGAAAGGGGTGGAGTAATGAGAAAGGATCTAAAGAGCTTTTTGTGTCCATCACCGAGACTCCACAGTCATCTGTGGGAAACCGGAGGAATAGCTGGGACAACTTTGCAAGATGTAGTCAGATACTGAATACCTGAATGCTTCTGTATTTTCATCTCATATCTTGCATCGTTGTAAATAGCATTTGTGACTTTTAGTGCCCTTGCATTTTGAATCTTTGTATATTTGTCCAAACTGATAAGAATTCCTCTTGAGGCTGAACACTGTTCCCCTTTTTTGCAGCCTGCAGTTTACAGGTCTCAGAGAGAGGCTGCTAACGTTTACCTGAGCAACAAAATGTAAACAAACCAGAACACACTCATGAATCATGCAAAGTCCTGTCAGACAAATCCTCTTTCCTACGCAGAGCACTGAATTCACGCTATGTACATGCTATGATACAAACCCTGTACACTTTTCTGTATGTCGAAAATGCCCACAGGTCTGAACTGCGTGTTTCCACAGGAAAGATCTGCTTGGACCGTGTGCTCGTGTAATAAACAAGATGCATTTGTCAGTGAAGTCATTTGATCTGGATTCAGCTCTATCCGTCTCCTAAAATACAGCAGAGACTGGTGAAAGCCCTGGAGGCGTGTTGTCCCGCAGTCCCTTGTCTTGTTTTTCTAACCTTCACAGGAGTTGTGTTACCGAACAAACAATCATTTTTCCATGTTGTTCTTTTGCTCAGCTGATTTTATAAAGACTTTTACAGACTGATCAACCCAAAATTAGAAGGCCGTCCCCCAAAACGTTTGTCTGGAACCTTAGAGATCTACTGATCTGTGTGCAGGTTTGTGTTTTGTAGTGGATCTTGTTCTGTAATATGTGAACTATTCACATGGTTGTATCTAGTTACAAAGTCTATTGAAGCAGAGGCTATTTATGTCTAATCATGTTAGTGCCCATGTCAGAGGATCAGTGCCACCAGCTGACGATCAGATGCCTTCTTCCATAAAAAGTGTTCTGCTGACTACAAAAGGATAACGGCCCCATTGTTCACACGGCGGCAAAGTCATGTTCCTAAAATCGGAGCAAAGATGGGAATTTCAAACCCCAATTATTGTATTATTGAAAAATAAAAAGGTGTTTTTAATGCTTTATATTGAAGTAATGGAAGTGAATCCTGAGATGCAGGTCAACCATCTTTCTGCTTCACTCCGGCTGCTGGAACAGGAGCACAGGAGTCGTGCAGTTATCACCGTGTCCACTTGATGTCAGCAGGACAACACACCCAGCTTTCTGTCTGGCTCAGTTACAGCGAGCCACAGATAGCAGATCATATTACACAACCACACTCTGCAAAATCAAAAAGAATAAAAGACTGGATTGTTTGCTGAGTCTGTGTGTGTTTACACTTCTGGTTGGGATAACTGTAAAAACAGCTGACAACACTAAATAGTTTCCAAAGATTTTACATTTTCTGTCATTTTTAATTCACAAAACCGATATTATTTGCAATTTTGTCACTTAGATAGGGACAGAGTGTGGTATGTGTGTGTGTGTTGGTGACGTAAGTGGCCTGACTGATGACAACGTCTGAAGACCCTCCTACAGCTCTCTGTGTGTTTCTATTTCCCGCAGGGTTCTGGTAGCTTCGTCCTGCTCCTCCAGCAGTACCGAGGGAACAGCAAACCCAAACCTGCAGTCAGACACAAGCAGGCATTTCTTAATGTCACATGCATCATCCACAGTCACCATAACCGCAGCTGCATTCATATGTTGCATAAAACTAACAATAAACCTGCCTGCTCTGCTGTTTGAGTTCTCTCTTTCTTGATAACGGCAGCGTGGAGGAGGGTGCACTCGGCACCATCAATGAGAAGCAGAGCAGAGCTGAGTGTGAATGAGTCTGGGGTGTGGTGCACTACAGCATTGAGTTAGGTGGAGAAGAGATGCAGTTACATAAGACCGGCGTGATGACTCATGCCTGCTGTTAATACTCACACACTGCAGCTATGAGCCACATTTGATATTGTGGACTTCACAGTCGTGTGCAGCTCTCACACTTCCTGTTACACCGGCCATAGAGGGGATCTACGCAGGTTAAAGCAAGCTCGTTGGTATATAACTGGCTCCATTCACATTTATCCTGTCTGTGCGTGAAAAAAAGTGATTCTGTTGAGTTAAAGGGGAGTTCTTGAACTCATTTGATTTATTAATTGTTTGATTAAGCCATTAGATTCCATAAAAGTAGATGTCCACCCTAACCCTAACCCTAAAGCTGTGTCGCTAAACTGTGCCAACAGAAAGATGTCTTTACAGCCTTTCTCCCAGCTCCGAATCATTTATGGATGTGTAAAAAGTGCCCCGGAAGAGCGAGGAATTCCCCACACACGGTTTCAAGTTTTGCAGGCGTTAAACTAATCAAAGCATCTTCAGATGCCAACACACACACTCACACACACACACACACACACACACACACACACACACACACACACACTCACACACACACACACACACACACACACACACACACACACACACACACACACACACAGATCTCGTTTGAAGCCAGCAGGCTTTGGGGTTTAGAGGATTCCTGTTTTTCTTGCTTCTCTTCGTCACATGGTCTGGGATGCTTTCCAGAGCCAAATATTACAGATTAGGCGCAGCATTTCTTCTTTTGGTCTCCATTTTTAGAACAGCAGAAGTGAATAGATGCCTCCAAATTCTCTGGATCAACACAAGATCTTCTTTTAGAAAGCAGCGAACAAATGGAAGGGTTTAGGTATACATATCTGTAGTGACTGCCTGCTGTAAAAGAGAGCTTGGAGGGTGTTTTTGTTGCTGTAAATGAGGAAGTGGACCACTCTAGAGTAAAAGAGAGAGTGGAAGCGCTGCACAACAAACTGGAACAGACAGAATATTGTATTGTGATGCTCCATCCCACTTCTGGAGCTGAGAACACTGAAGTACTGTCTCTGGACTGCCCAGCCATAATGGCCCATAGAAAAGCAAAGACCATAATAGACAGAAATCTCAAATTCCATTGAAAGTATTCATTAATTCACATAAATAACAGTAACTGTTTTGTTTCAATGCACCGCCAGAAGGTTTATGTATTTTTACCACCATTGGAAGGAAAGCGTGGAGCATCACAAATGAAACGTCAGAAGATCTTTACAAAACGAACAATGATACAGTAAAAAAAAGTAAAATCATTCAAATTAAACTAGTGAAATAATATAAATAGTTTTGTATTGATTACAAATTTGTTTTTCACATGTTGTACAGGCCTGAGATCAATTTGGCTGATTTGAAATGTCCAATGAAACAATTTTACAACTTGGTGATTGTTTTATAATTCTGTTTTCATTTAGATCCAAAGTTATGTTTGTGGTGAATTTAATTTTAGTTCTGAGATGTTGGAGGTTTAGATCGTATTTAAAGTTTTTATGTATGTATAAGTCTGTAAAAGTAAAAGTTTTACCCTGTTACAACTGGTCTGATGAGTCCAGATGGACCCTGTTCCAGACTGAAGGTGCATCGGGGTAAGAAGAGAAGCAGATGAAGTGATGCACCCATCATGCCTAGTGCCTACTATACACACCTCTACAAGGCAAGCTTTTGTGTAGCCTACGGTTGCAACAACAGGCGTGTATTAAAAACTATTGACTTTCCTAGCCTACCTGTTGGGACTGCATATTTTTATTTTATTTTATTGCATTTGTATTTTTATTATCGTGACAAAATATATGTCTGATTTTGTGAAAAAGCATAAAAAATTGTTTTTTTTAGTTGGATAAGCACCTTCCTCAGTAAAATGAATTAGGAGGAGTATTTTGTCCCTTAGGGACAATTGTCCCACTTGTTTACATTAAGGGTGAGGGACTTATGACTTATACTGGAGCCAGCCACTAGAGGGCGTTTCAGTTTGACTGGACTGAAAACAGTAAACAGTTATTCTGTGTGACTTGTAGTCAGTACTGTAGAAGCATATGGTGTACTAGTTACCAGCGTCCCCCCAGCTCTCTCTCTCTCTCTCTCTCTCTCTCTCTCTCTCTCTCTCTCTCTCTCTCTCTCTCTCTCTCTCTCTCTCTCTCTCTCTCTCTCTCTCTCTCTCTCTCTCTCTCTCTCTGAGGCTTTTAAATATGATCACAACCGTCACCCACAAGGAGCGCTCCATTTTCATTCACTTTACCAACGACTGAACTGCAAACAAACATCATTTTGTACTTGTGCTCGGTGACGCTCGGCGCAGACGTTACCGGGTGGTGAAGTTGGCCACAAAAACGAGAGACTTCTGGTGTTAACAGATGGCTGCCTCGGTCTGCCACGAGGATTCCATGTGGCTCGGCTTCACACATGACCCAGAATTCTTGTTGCCAAAACTCACACTCCTCCTCTGCCTGAGAGAACGTACAAGCCTTAGTGTCACAAGAGGTCTGCCTCACACAGATAGTGTATCTGCTGTAGGTTGGTGGAGTGATAATCGACTTCCTGTTAGATGAAAGTCCATTAGACAGCGCTGCAAATAGGAGAAACAAACAGTAAGGATCGCAATGTTTTAGTGAAACGAACTGAAGTTAAGTTTCATAGGGTGGTGACAAACCGAGCAACCGAGCCTCGATTAAACTTCTAAAATGATTCATCGCTCTGAATGGGAACCAAGTACCAAAGCTTATTTTATTACACATATGGGATGAAGAAGGAGACAAAAATGCACAAGTGTAATTCAAGAGTTCTGGGAATCGTCTGGCGATCCCCCACAAAGCAGGAGATGAAATCCCTGGCATGATAACACATACCGATTCATTACAGTCACACATGGCGCCATGAAAGCATGACTAAAGGCCATGAGTTTATGCAACCATGTACTGGGAAGAAAAAAAAAACACTTTCCATCACAATGATTATGTAAAGCATTAAATATATTCATGTATAGGCCAAGCAGAAAGGCAAAAACAATGAAGTAGCTGTTTAAAAAATGATGGCAGCCACAGGGTTCGGGGCAGAACGCTGCATCCATGATGTCACCTCCCTCCTCAGCATCATGATGTCAGAGGCAGCAGTCAGCCAAATACTTGGATTAGGATTATGCTCTGTGGGCCCGAACATCTGCTGCACACAAACAGAGTGAGACTACTGGGAGCAGAAATCTCTGCAGTTATTCACATGGGAACGGCCTTTGCAGCAGCATTCCCGAACATCTGAAGAAAAAGGGGACCCCTCGTTGTTTTAGTGTATTCTTTTATCGGAAAGGCAAAAGCAAGTAGGTGCACACTAAATATAGAAACTTTAAGGTTAAAAAAAAGGAAGAAAAAGCCCTTCCCCCATTTTTTACATCAGAAGCAGCTGTGAAATTGTCAGTCAGGCAGTATGCTAAGTATGTTCTTAAAACCACAGCAGGTGTGCACCATGTAGCACAGCACACACATCAAGCAGGCTCACACAAACCCACATGTGCACCGTTTCTACCCACACAGCCAAGTAAAAACCAGTCACATGCACATCTGCTTCCCCATCACTGACTGCTGAGTAAACAACATTAGCCTCCGCTTCCCTTCATGGGTGATCACAGCCAAACAGAAAAACACATTTTATTTCTGTCACCTGCAGGAGAGAAAGAAACATCACGATCCAGCAGAAATGTGTTTTTCTTTCAGTTTACTTTGTGGATGGAAAGTTGTTTCTTTAGTTCTGATTTCTGAACTGAGGGTCCTACATGTTTTCTAAAGCTACTTTGTGTCGGAGACAAGCAGGGCTGCTTGGAGCTCGTACAAATAAAAACAACAGAATTTTGTGAATTAATGAAGAATTTTGAAGGCTGCCCAAGATGCCTCTAAATGTAACCATACCATGTTATTAGTTAAGCGTTTTCAACACAGCCATGCAGCTGACCCAAGCGCTGCACGATAACAACAACCAGCTAAATTATAACATTCTAATACTTCTGATAGAACTTTTTAACCTATCTTTGTGATCATTTATGACAAAATGTCTTGCTTTTTGAGTCAAAAATAAACTATTTCAGAAAGGTATCCATCCATCATTACATTAATTTTCTTCCGCTTATCCGAAGTCGAGTCTCGGGTGCAGCAGCCTAAGCAGAGAGGCCCTGACTTCCCTCTCTGCATCAACTTGGGCCAGCTCTCCTGGTTGCACATGCAGAAAACCTCACCGGGGAGGCGTCCAGGAGGCATCCTAATCAGATGCCCAAGCCACCTCAGCTGGCTCCTCTCGATGTGGAGAAGCAGCTACTCTACTCCGAGCTCCTCCTGGATGACCCAACTTCTCGCCTTATCGCTAGAACCCAGACATCCTGTGGAGTCTCTCTCTCTCTCTCTCTCTCTCTCTCTCTCTCTCTCTCTCTCTCTCTCTCTGTGTGTGTGTGTGTGTGTGTGTGTGTGTGTGTGTGTGTGTGTGTGTGTGTGTGTGTGTGTGTGTGTGTGTGCGTGTGTGTGCGTGTGTGTGTGTGTGTGTGTGTGTGTGTGTGTGTGTGCGCTCCTCTCAGCAGTGAGAAACAGAGAAAAACAGCTTGTCAGAGGTTCGTTAGCTCCACAGCACCCAGAATGATAATGAATCACATACGCGGGAATCCCCGCTGGCTGATATGGACAGAATTGATGTAGGAGTTTGCAAAAGGCTTTCTTTGTTTGTAGTGGCACTGTGCACTTTCCTGGCTCTAGGGGGCAGTACATGCATACATACAGGGTAGTTTTACACGATATCGCTGAACAGAGCTCGTTTCCACCCAGACCGTTTTAGACGTGACACTCTCTAAGCCTGATCACCGCTATGTGTTCATAAAAAGTACTTCATGATAAAGTAGAGTGTGTTTGTTGACGCCTGTTAGCTTTGTGCTTCTATTAATAGTTTAGTAACACCATACGAGAATGATCCCTTTATAGTGCATTAAGGAGATATTAAATAAAGTATTAACAACTGCTCAGTATTAATGTTAATATTAAGCAATGCATTACTAAGCAGACACAAACCCCTCGTCCTTTGTCCTAACCGTAAGAACAATTAATAGTTAATTATATTGGAACCATTAATAACGAGATCATTTGTTTATTAATGCTTTATTAATGCTTAATGACGTCAACAAAGGGACCCTTCTTGTAAAGTGTTAGCTTTTATACATAATGCTGCATTGGGCATGTGTTACGTTGCTGCAGCAGTGTAGAACATAAAGTGGTTGCATTGTTCAAAACATTTAAAACTAAAAAATCTATAATTAAAAATGAATGTGATGCATTAGAGATTTGATATTTGATATCATGATATTTTTGCCTTATCGTCCACCCTAGTAAAATACTAAGCTGCAGTTGTTCAGTTGCCATAAAAGAATTAGAAAATGCCAGTTCAGTCATGTGAAGCACACTTTTCTGTGACTCATTTAAGCCTCAACGGATGTCTCTACTGTGCAACGAGCCGGAGCTTTAGAGCTCCAAAGAGGGATTGGTTTTTGACTTGTTCCAACAAAATCCTGGTTTGTTTGCTGACATTGTTCACGAAGTTTTTGGCTAATTTTGCCAATGCTGTGGGACGTACCGCTAATATCATGCTTTCCCATTGCTCACTGTGTCTGACTGAACCAAATGTTTTCATGTTTCAGTTTTCCCAAAGATACAAGAGGACCAAAAATTGTGACGGAAACAGAAGAATACCGGGGGGGTCGTAATGTGGCTCCATAAATGCTTGTGCATCAGCGTCTTTAATTACAGCTCACATACGTATGTATTAAAAAAAAACACCAGAGACACATTCCTGACGCAACTTTCAGCGTCAGGAAAAAGACTTGCCACAAAAGGAGAACTGGTTTGCAGAGGATACATGATTTAGACTCTAAAATGCAACAGCAGTAAACGGTGGTATTAGAGGTGTGTGTGTGGCTGTGTGAATAATTATTTTTTCCTGTAGGACTCTGTCATTATAGTGGAGGTTTATGGTGCCAGGTAGAGATAAGACCTCTGTGATTAATGGCCCCTTCCATCATTCACAGACTCGTACAGCCATGGCCTTATCCTGGGTATCTCTTGGATTCTAATCATCGCCTTGCCCAGCAGGTATGTGGCCAGCCAGGTTCAGTCATGTTTAAAAACTCATCATTCAACTGCTTTTTATCACAAACCACGACTGCAAGGTGGTGCCAGGCAAGTCTCTTCACGCTGCTCTTAAAGTCGGAGGTTTTACTTATTGACTTCCGCAAAGTTCTCACTCAGCTTAGCCGCAAGCTGGAACCAGAACGGTTTTCATGCCGTGCTTAGGTCATCCTGCTGCGTGACAGTTATTGCACCATAAAGTGTTGCGCAGGTCATCTAGAAATCATTAGCTCCAACAGCAGTGTGCTTCTAAGGCTCTACTGGTGACCGTTTGTAATTGAAATGTTTAAAACAAAACAAGAAAAAAAGGATCATAAAAAGAGATGTAATGAAAACATCAGCTTTTTGAGGCCTAAAACACAAAATTTGTGTTATAACTGAGTTCAGACATTCCGGTTAAAACCTCTTTCAGCATTTATGCAGGAATTTTTGGAAATCCATAAAAGTGAAAGTCTTATCCTGGACGGTGATATAACAGGCAATACTTTTCTTTTTTGATAAGCCCATCCCCGTCCTGTAGAGCACCACACAAGTGTTAGACATCTGCTCATGTACAAGACGTCTAACAGACGTCCATGCTCGATGGCAGTTTAGGTCTGATAAGTGACATGACATATCCACCTCCTTCTTCTTTGTTCCATTCTTCTGATCATGTCAGATTCTGTTTTGGTTTCCACTGCATGAACAGAATGTGTATGCATTTGGCTGCTTTCATCCAAAGCCACTTTGCAGATAAGGATGTCACAATGCCCTTATAATTGAAGCTGACAATACTTAGAGCGAAGAACTGTGATGAGACTTTGTCAGGTGACTATGTAGAAATAAGAGTGCAAGCATACAGGGAAGTGCACAGGTGGGCACAGCGGTGTGGTACGGTTGGAGAAGCTCTCTGAAGAGCCGTGTCTTCAAAAGTTGTTTGAAGATGCAGCGATATGGAGCCTGAAGTGTCTTGAAAGGCACTGGTAGCCGACAATCCTTGGATGACTGGAGAGACCGAGTCGAGAAATGAACCATAGGAAGTGCTGCGTGTCTGAAAAAGTTAAGTGGAGAAAACGAAAACGAAGAGAGCGTGCATTTCTTCAGGAAGTGTGGAAATAAGAAATTCTCTGTCTGATTACAGCACGAAGACTCAAAGGGACAACTAATTTTAGCCATTAATATTAAACACATCTTAAAGCACTAATACTGTAGATTTTAGAGAGTAAAAGATTTGCTAGATTTAATTTGTAGTTTTCTTTACACCCTTTTTATGGTGCTGACAAGTTCTCTTTGCTCTTGAAGCGGGTATTGCTTTTTGGCATTTCTGCCTAAAACCACGCGTGAATTAGAGCGGCCGTTTATGGCACATCACTTTAATTCACACTGCAGATGAGAGCTGTCAGAAATCCTGTGTCTGCGGTGGAAGAAACGCTGTCTCATCTTCCTCTTCCTGTACGTGCTAAGTTTGAGTGGCGGCTCGGCGGGCGTGGCGCCTTTGTGGTATTGACAGATCGGGCCTTGTCGCTTGTCTTTGTGTCAGAGCCCGTGGGAGACAGGAAAGCAGGCAGAAAACACACCACACCTACTTCGCCAAGGCCAGACAGCACAATAAAACTACTTAGATCTCCCCGGGCACATTCGGTTGTGACACAACCTCACACACGCTTTCTGTTTAGCTTCACTAAATGAGATACGAATGTTCTTGACAGGCTTATATAGAAAGAAACTGTTTTTAAGTAAAAATATACAATTTATTTTTGTAAAACCTTGAACAGAATGCCTTGGATTTTTAACTTTAGATTTTCCATACAAAAGGATTTCAACAGGGTCACTTTCATATCCTTCACGGGTTACAAAAACATGTTTACACCGAACCAATCGGCCAAGATGACATGCAGTCGCCTCACATAAAAAATCCCTGAAAGTATCTGGTGTTGAGGTAAGAGCACCCCAGTCTCGTGTGCTTTCTTTCATTCATTTGTTCAAAAGAAAAGACACACCAGCTCATCACACCAACGCTCTGCTGTACCGCAGAACAAGTAGCTGCAGGACGAAGAGTGGCAGAACAAAAACACACGCACATCCAGTTTGTTACGGAGATAGCTGCTCGCGTCCGCTGTAGGGAAAGCCAGTTCGAACTCTTTACCTCAACATGATAATGAACACAGAACGGCCAAGGCCTCAGCATAAAAACACACAGAAATAAAGAAGAAGGTCCCTCCTGGATCAGGGTCTTTTATGATAAATTGTACTAGAGTGCTTCTGCAATGTGAAAGACTGAAACTTAACAAGAAAAAAGAGTTTGAATGTTTATACAACCATTCCCCAAAGAGTTTACAGACTAATACTGAATCCCAGATTAGGAGATTTTGTGTAAAAACAGAAGAAAATGTTCTCCGTAGTGGAAACTGTCCATGGTAGCTTATTTCCATCAGCTTGAATTACAAAACATGTCAGGTTTGGCCACAGTTGTTCTAGATAAAGGCAGTATTTAGAACCAATACAAGAAAAATGTATGTAAAAAGTGAATAACAATCCAAAGCTTTAAAGGAAATGTCCTCCTGTTGTGTGTGATGTTTAATGTGTGGCAGAAATCTCCCGTGTGTTGGACTTTAAGGCACCTAGATCAAAAATAGTCTGAACTTGTGGATTCTGTCCTTCTGGTGTCTGACAGGCCGAGAGAGAACAAGAGACACCACGGGACGCAACGGTCTTCATGTTGACTCCAGATGAAAGACGTTGTGATTGGTCGGTGTGGTGAAGAAGAGCTGCTCCTCGCTGCTGGGGCGGTTATCACAGGGGGTGTGCCGCCCAAGAGTCCTCTCAAAGTCCAGGAGCTGACCCATGAAGTTAAAGTTTGGGGAAATGTTTGCTTTCTTCCTCTTCACAAAGTCGTAGGCATCGTTCAGCGAGAGGTTGAGTTTCTGCATCAGGTAGGCCACAGTGACGGTGACTGAGCGGCTGATGCCAGCGAGGCAGTGCACCAGGATGCAGCAACGCTTCGACCGAGCCTCATCTGTCAGAGACAGAAAAAAAAAGAAATGGAATTAAAACATGCCAATCATTCACTTCAGGTCGTGTCAGTTTTAGGTTTCTCTTCAGCAGTCAGTGCGAGTCTAGCTCAGGGGTCGGCAACCTTTTCCCGTCAAAGAGCCACAATTACCCGTTTCCCACAGTGAAGAAAACACTGGGAGCCTCAGCGGCGTTGTGGGTGGGGTGGTTCGAGAGCTGCTTTAACCGATCACAGCAGGTGACAGCAACCAATACCAGTCGCCCGTGTACATCAAAGTTATCTCTCAACAGAAGATAATTAGTAAAACAATTTGTATAAAATTGATCCAGAAGTTGTAGCCTGTCTGTGCCTACAATATTTTTACCATGTTAGTGGTTTTAATAGTTGAGCAAGTGCCGCTTTTTGACACGTCTCCTTATAAAACATGTTTTAACTGTTCAGATCACAAATCCAGGCTCTGTCTTGTAGGATTGTTGTAATTAAACTTTGTACTGAATGAAACTTTACATTAAATAATGTTGAAAAGGTAAGAAAAGGATCTGATCTATTCATTTTTCTCCCTCATTAAAAGTGCCGGAGGTAACGGCGCAGTGCGCAAGGCTCTGGTGTTAATCATGTTTAAGTTTTTGTCTTCTCAAAACTCTTCACAAGCAGGCAAAACAGTTACATGACAGGGTTTGCACTGACCGCATATTGCCCGTATTTGACAGTTTATTTTGACGGAGAAAGAATAGACAGAATGGCCCTGATGCATGCAGATGCGCTGACCTTTTTATCGTTACGCACATCGCGAAGCTAGCTAAATCAATCAAGAAAGGATTCCCATCAGAGCCTCTGAGCTGGACACTGCTCAGCGCAGCTCGTGGTCAGCGCGCACGTATGGTGAACAGTGAGCTGAAGATGAGGAGATCGGGGGCTTGGAGTGCGTTGCAGAACCAGAGCGCATGCAGGAAGATTCCTCTCACTGAAGCGTGTGTTTTCCAAAGCCTGGGTGTTTCTCAATGCCAAGGAACCTCGCCTTGACGGTCTTGGCCCCGCCCCGGTTGCCTAGGAGATACGTCATCAGGAGCCGCCAAGATGTGTTCCAATGTTCATGTTCTACCGAGGCGTGTGTTCTCCGTTTGTTAGCCGTTTAGCTAGCTGAGCAAGGACCTTGCCTTGACGGTCTTGGCCCTGCCCCGGTTGCCTAGGAGATACGTCATCAAGAGTCGCCAAGATGTGTTCCAATGTTCATGTTCTACCGAGGCGTGTGTTCTCCGTTTGTTAGCCGTTTAGCTAGCTGAGCAAGGATACGCTCGAGGTGTCTTGTAGCCTAGCATTGGTCAAAAATGATCCAGAATACGCCGCAGTATTTTCAGAAGGATGGCGGAGCAGATGCCGGCAGCTACTTCGGGGGCAAATTTCAAGTTTAAAAGTAAGTGAACTAATTTAAAATGTTTTTTTTTTAGATCCAAAGAAGTTATCTATGGTTGGTAAGTTGCTTAGTAGTTGCAGCTTCGGTGGCTAGCGAGTAGTAACTCACTTATATATTTTAATTTAATAAACATATACATAATTTTAAAAGTAAAAGGCTCATTATATATGTATATTGAAACTAATACATATAAAATATAACATTATCTCCCGTGTCACGTGACATTACATGAAGCCGTGGTCACATGATGTAAGTCTGTTTCATGCAACCATTTTCTTTGACCAAGGAAGGACAGTGTCCTCGTAAGCAAGGCGCCTGGCCTCGCATGACATCGCCTCGCAAGGCCAGGCACCTTGACATTTAGAAACACCCCAGGTCTCTCAGAGAGACTTGTCACTTAGAAAATGTTCCCTGATTATGAAACTTTGGCTGAATAGCGCTTGTTCCTGTCTTCAATGTGGCGACGCTTCCATGAAGTCCAGAATCTCATCTCCTCTCCAGGTCAGAAAGCACCTATAGAGACATTTGATTACGCACAAGCAGGTGACCTGTCAACCTGGTCTCACGTAAGACCAGGCATGACCTGTTCAAGTTCACGCAGACAATCTTTACATTTATAATTGGCATACAGATAAAAGATGTATGCAGTTAAATTAAATACATTTTAATTAAATATTCTTTTATTATTTTACAAACACAGAGCCGCATCAGAAGGATGAAAGTGCCGCGGGTTGCCGACCCCTGGTCTAGCTCTGCTCACTACATAAAAAATGGTGCACTTTAACTTCCTGTTTGTTTCAGATGTTAGAAAACCGCTTTTAAAGCTTGAATCTAACACAACCCAACCAATGGAATCAGCATTTACGTCTACTAGGAAACTAGCTCGTGGTACACAACGCAACAACCGTGGTTTCATGTGCAGTCACTTCAAGAAACAGTAAAGCAAAACTAACACGTTACACTTTACTGCTGCTGTACATTCACCTGATGTTATGTGTTGTTGCACTGTATTGATGTGATGGAATTTAATGCAGAAGCTAATATAATTACAGCGTGTTTAAAGAGAACACTGATGAATCCAGTCAAGAACGGAACAAGAAGTGTTGTATCTGAAAAGTAATATTTGTTTTAATCAGCTGGTCAACTCACCGATAAATGAAATGGCCTCTGGAAAGTACTTGGACAGGTTCTGACTCCAGTGGTCCGAAATGGGGATCTGTTTGTACCTGAAGTGGCCGTCGTGCTCGAACATGTTTGGGAGGTTGGGCGTGACGTTCAGGATGTAAGTGATGTTGTAGCGGCCAAGAACGTCCAGGTTGGTGGAGTCTTTGGCACAGCCCAGGTAAAGGTATGGCAAGATTTCTACTGGGAGGTCCAGCTGGTTGCTGGGGATGGGGCTCTCCTCAGGCTCCGTGGCACTGATGGGCTCTCGGTCGGACTCACCATCAGAACAGTCTGAGCTGATCCTGAGGTTTCCGAAGCCCAGGACAGGCATGGGGGGAGAGGAGCTTGGACAGGAGCTGTCCAAGAGCGTCTCACAGTGCTCTGGGTACTCTGTGTGGAACTTCACGAAGCCACCTGGATGAAAGCCAAAACACAGGTTAGGGCTGCTCAATTAACCCAATTTTAATCACAACTACGATCTGAGTTTTTGAAGATTACAAAAACAAAACAAGCTCCTCCCTCGCGGTTTACACCAAGTTATAAAAAAAAAACGTCTTAAATAATCGAGATCCCAGTCTCGGTCAAAATAATCATGATTATCATTTTTGCCATATCTGAGCATCCCTAACACAGGTTAATCAAAAGGGTTCTAGAATTCAGAACCATGTTTACATTGTTTTTAAACACAGAAGAAGAAAGGTTTATTTGTATAGCAACTTTCAAGATAGGAATTACAACTGGGAGGGGGAGGGGGGGGGGGTCAGATGTGCCACACCTAAAGGTTGTCTCTCACCAGCTGTCCTCTTTACGTAGTGATGCCGCAATGGTCAGAGAAATGGTGTGTTCTGAGAAAATCTGGTTTAACACATCATACGCTTAGACACACCCCCTAAATTCTGCATTTCCCAACCCACATCAGTGTCATGTTGGATAAATGTTGGTGGCAGAATTGTTAACCACAGAACAACGCTAGCCCGAGCTACTGCCAACATCCTTGTTGGACGAGAGGAAAACCACACAGAAGAATGTCGGCGTTAACTTGTAATGTTCCAGGATGTACCGAGACTATCCAGACTGTGATGGGCTCGACACACGGGAGGCGACAAACGACTGCGATCAGCTAAATTTGTCGCTGTCGCTTTTATTACCTGACACACGGGAGGCGATCTGCGGTAGCGGCCAGCGGCAAAGCCGTCTACGCGTTCTGTTCCATGGCGAAATCGAAACTTCCGTTCTTTTGTTTGGCTATGTCAGGTTGGAGGGAATTAAGGTTATTTAAGCGGTTCAGAGTTAATAAAGCGGTAGATATGATGTTTCACAAAGTGCTGCTAGAGTTATGTGAAATCTTACTTCTGATTTTACTATATAAAACATAATAATAATAATCAACTTCTCCTTCATATTTGCTCGGAGATGTACGGAGCATAATGTCCGCTCATTGGTCAGTGAATGAAACCTCCGCTGATTGGTCCTCGCCCGAGCGACAGCGATGAAAAGTTGAAAATGTTTCAACTTTCTGGGATCGCGTCGCTGGGTCGTCCGTGCACGACACGTGCACGAGTGCAAACTTTCACACGCACGTTTTTCGCGTTTCGCTTGGTAGGAGAGAACCCGCGATTATCGCTTTGTCGCGCATGTCTCATTGAAAATGAATGGAGGAGAGGCGATGTCGCCTCCCGTATGTCGAGCCCATTAAAATGAACAGTAGATAGATCCATAGGTTGTCTTTTGAGTTATCCAGATTATTTAAATCGCTGTGCAGAAAGGTTTTAGCTTCAGGTAGTGTCATAGGGCCATCAGGTAAACCAGCCAATCAACACGCAGCTCATTAAATACTCATGTTCTGACTGGATGGGTGGGAAAGGGGGAAGGGCTTTATTATGGATTGTATTCACACACACACACACACACACACACACACACACACACACACACACACACACACACACACAAAATATACTTGTTTTCAATTACATTTATTGTGCCCACTTACTTTTTCTTAGGCCCATCCACAAATGAGTTTCTGGCTACGCTAATGGTGACATGTACTTTCTACATAACTGGATCAAGTTTGTAAGATGAACATGATTAACTCTTGTAATGCGAATTTAAAAGGGTACAATGTGGTTTGTACTTCATTGTTTTTTTATTGGGGTAACATGAAAATATTGTATTCATAATTTAGCTTGCTGATTACTGGTTGTATGGAACAGATTTCCCAGCATGCCACGCTCTTTCTAAATGTAGAAAATGAAAATACATCATTTGGTGACAGTTTGAGTTCAATTCACATTTAAAGTATTGTAAATGAAATGAAATATACATGTGCTAAAAACTGTTGTGTATAATTCTTAAGCTGGCATCGAGCAAAAACAAAAGCCATGACTGAAAAGGATAGTTGTAAAGTATCCTACTATGGAAATGACAGCGAGCGTGGTCTAGATAGGGGCACAGACCACTGGAAAAGGTGCTTTAGTGAGGTTGTGGGAGTCATGTTGTTTGAGCATGATCATTTTATGTTACTGTATTTAACTTGTTATGATAACATGAAATGTTCATGTTATTTTAACATGTATTTAACGTGTTATAATAACATTAAAATGATCATGCTCTAATAACATGTATTAATCATGTTGGCATTATATAATGAAGTTATAAAACCAAAACATCCCATTTCAGGCGACCAATGAACAGGATTAATTTATGTGAATCCAACAGACTTGTTTGTGAGTACTGAGGTGTGGGACCCTCCAACAGACCATTCATGAAGTACTTGATTGTTCCTGCTGGAGCAAAAACATGCCGCAGCCATTTTGGAATGTTAGTCAGGAATCTCAGCAGTGACACAAGACTTGTGACTGGAAACACAACACAGGTGAGCGCTTCCGTGAAAGACCCAGCCTGGATGTTTGAAAACACTAGACTCAAGTTCAAAAAATGATATTGTAAAAACAGTTTAGAGTACCTTAAAGTTGCCAAAACTGGTTTTACATAATGTACCATCACTTATACATACATACTACTACTAATGCTGTTTTAATAAAGCCCTACCCTGCAGATAGTAGGCTTCACAGCCGTCCTCCCGCAGCTTGTTGAGGAGCAGAGACAGGACCGTGGTCCCGCCGTCCTGCCAGTCCACGGAGCTCTCATCGTACAGGACCACCGTGTCCGTCTTGCAGCGTCTGGTGAACTTCTCCTTGTCTTCGTGCGTGGGGATGATGGTCTGCACCGGGATGTTGCCCTTCCGGAACCTCCGCAGCATCAGCCCGGTCACGGCCACGTTGATGGCGCTCTCTATGTGAGATGATTCATAAAGCTCGTGAGAGCGGCAGTCCAGCAGCAGCAGAGCCGCTCCTCCGCCCTCCAGCTCCAGCTGCAGCCATTCCACGCTCTTACTCAGCCTCACGTTAGACATGTCGACCTCAGTCGCATGCTGCACGCACACGACACACACTTCAAGCGAGTAGAAAGCGCATCTCAGGCCGACGACAACAACAAAAAGAAGCGGCGAACGTGGCTCCGCGAGCGCGTGGCGCTTCTTCTGGAGCGAAAATCCTTCCCCGCTGTTTCCTCCTCTCTGTGTCCATCAGACAGACTTGTCCCAGTTGACAGAAGAGTTGCTGAAGACTTCTTAACACTTGGATTTTAATAGTAATAACTCTCCTAACCAACTAACTGCCGTACCAGGGTCCGACACGCACATTTCACGTCATGGACGGGAGGTTTCCCTTTTTTTAAGTTGACAGAAGAGAAACTCAGGGGGAGGAGTTTCCGTCCTGCAATTTAAAGTCACAGCAGAGCTGAAGTAGCCTGGCCTGCCAGACTCCTCCTCTGTTTAATTCTGCACAGAAAATTAAATTAAATTTCTCTGTGCAGAAGTACACAGAGGAGGAGTCTGGCAGGCCAGGCTAGAGTTGAAGGCCTGCATGTAGTTTGCTAAAAGACACCTGAAGGACCGTGAGATGGTGAGAAAGCAGATTCTCTGGTTTGATGAGATCAAGATAGAACATTTTGGCTTTAATTCTAAGCGGTATGTGTGGAGAAAACCAGGCATTGCTCATCACTTGTCCAATACAGTCCACACAGTAAAGCATGGCAGTGGCAGCATCATGGTGTGGGGTTGTTCTTAAACTGCAGCGACAGGACGACTGGTTGCAATTGAGGGAATGGTGAATGTGACCAAGTACTGAGTGCTCAGGACCTCAGACTGGGCTGAAGGTTTACCTTCAAAAATGACAACGACCCTGAGCACACACACAGCTAAAATAATGAAGCAGTGGCTTCACAACGCTGAGTGTGTGACTGTGTCTGTGTATAAATGTATATGTCAGGTGGGGTCTTGGACTCCTCCTCTCTCCTGAGACTTCTTGTGCTAGTACACATCTTCGCATGCCCTTCTCCTGCCACATTTGGTGTGGAGTGTGGTGCCTTGGTCTGCCTGATTGTTCGCGGCTCCCGTGTCGGGGAGCTTAAGATTTTTGGTGCATGCCTTATTGACTCCGGTGGCTGCCTGGTGGGATCTGTGTCCCAGGGCTCTGTTGAGACCCCAGCGGGGCTAATCTCCCCTGGGTCCCGGTCCGCTGGGTTCTGGGATCAACTGGCTTGGGGGGTGAGAGGCTGCGGGCGGGCATGTGGGCTTGCCGCTGATATCTCCCAGTACTCTGCCGGCTGCTGCTTGTGGACCCCCGGGGAAATCCTCTGCACCTCTTGAGAGGGGGCTGGGGCTTCCCTGGTGACAGTCTCCCTGGGGTCCCTGCATTCTGGGGCAGCTCCTGGATCTCTGGGGCTTGGAGCTCCCTCCATCTCCTACACATCTTTGGGGGCAGATCTGTGGCCCCTCACACTCTCTATTGGACACTCCTATAGAGAAACCTTACATATACAAGCGCGTGTACGCACGCAGGTGCTCACATGGTGCTCTCATAAGTATGGACTTGGGCACACTCAACACATGTCTTAAGGCAGTGGTTGGCACTAAATACACTGTGATTTATTATCGTGTGATTGTTCAGTAAAACAATGTTGATTTTATATTTCCTCATTAGGTTGACACCGTGATATTTTGCTCTTGTTGTATTGTTGTGTGTCCCTTTAATTGTTTGTTTTTCTCTTTCTGAAAGTCTAGAAGCAGACTCTTGTTCATCATTGATTGTTTTTGTGGAACCCCCACCACCTCTTCCTTTTGTTTTTTTTTTCCTTCTCTTTCACCTCTGTTTCCGTGTCTGGTCAGAATTAAAAAGCATCCAAAAACAATGAAAATAATGTTTTAAGTATCAGGTGTTTGTTTGTTTGTTTGTTTAGATCCTCATTAGCTACTGTTAAAACAGTAGCTAGTCTTCCTGGGGTCTAACCTTCATTCACAGTTTTGCATCATGCGTCAACACAGAGCAAACAATATTTACATCAAGCATGCAGAAAAATAAAGTGTGACATTAAAGCAGAAGCTTTGATGTTCCACCTGAGAGTTAATCTGTAAGGCTTGTCACCAGCATCCAGACATTAATTCTGTTTGCTTCACAGCCGGACAGGACACGGGAGAATAAAAAGTAAATAAATAAAAGAAACTTGTTCAATTCAATTCAAAAATACTTTATTAATCCCAGAGGGAAATTTATTGCTGTAGTAGATCAGAATAATAATAATAATCAAGTCATCAAAGAGTTATTGTAGATTACAATGGCTGTTGGCAGGAAGGATCTCCAGTAGCGGTCAGTGTTGCAGCCAAACTGAAGAAGCCTCTGACTGAAGACACTCTTCCGTTGTCGGACAGTCTTGTGAAGAGAATGCTCAGGGTTGTCCATCATTTTCTTGATTCTCTGGAGAATCCTTCTTTGCATTATCTCCTCCAGTGGTTCCACAGTCGTCCCCAGAACAGAACCAGCCTTCTTTATTAGGCTGTTGAGCCTTTTCATGTCCCTGCTTCTGATGCTGCTACCCCAACAAACGATGGCTGAAGAGATTACACTCTCAACAACAGACTTGTAGAAGATCTGCAGCATCTTGCTACAGACACGAAAGGACCTAAGCATCATCAAGAAGTGCAGTCTGCTGTGTCCCTTCTTGTAAACAGCTTTGCTGTTCTTTCCCCAGTCCAGTCTGTTGTCCAGGTGAACTCCAAGGTATTTGTATTCCTCAACCACCTCCACTTCTTCTCCCATGAAGGAAACAGTGTTTGACTCCACCCTGTTTCTTCTGAAGTCTAAAATCATCTCCTTTGTTTTGTTCATGTTCAAGGTCAGATGATTGTTTCCACACCATGCCACAAAGCTCCACCAGCTCTCTGTACTCAGCTTCCTGTCCATCTCTGATACACCCGACAACTGCAGAGTCATCTGAGTATTTCTGTAGATGACAGGTGTCTGATTTGTACTGGAAGTCTGAGGTGTACAGGGTGAAAAGAAATGGTGAGAGTACAGTCCCCTGTGGTGCTCCAATGTTACTGATTGCCTGGTTTGATGTGTATTTCTTCAAGCCTCACAAACTGTGGTCTGTTTATCAGGTAGTCTTTAATCCAGGCGATGGTTGAGGCCCCCACCTGTGTCTTCTGGAGTTTCTGGCAAAGTACATCAGGCTGGATTGTGTTAAATGCACTGGAGAAATCAAAGAACATGACCCTCACAGTGCTGCCTGCTTTGTTCAGATGACAGTGGATTGGTTGAAGCAGCTGGATGATGGCATCTTCAACTCCAACTCCATGGCGATAAGCAAACTGCAGCGGGTCCTGATATGTTCTAGTTTGCTTATTCAGGTGGACAAACAGGAGTCTCTCCAGGACCTTCATGATGTGGGATGTCAGGGCAACCGGTCTGTAGTCGTCATTGACTGATGGGCGAGTTTTCTTTGGAACTAGAACAAGGCAGGATGTCTTCCACAGGACTGGAACCTTCTCCTGGGCCAGGCTGAGGTTGAAGAGGTGCTGCAGAATCCCACAGAGCTGCTCTGCACAGGCCTTCAGTACCCTGGGGCTGACACCATCTGGACCTGCAGCCTTGTTCCTGTTCAGTCTCTCCAGCTGCCTCTTCACCTGACTTCTAGAGACAGATAGGTGGTAGGGGGAGGTAAAGGGGGCAGCAGCATCTCCTGACTTGGTTGAAGACAGATTTATAGAACCAGAAGAGTCCACGACTGTGTTAATCATTTTTGGCAGCCAGTCAATTTATGGCACAACACCGGATCACAGGCGTCTCTCTAAGTACTAAACTATGTTACGTGAACGGATATTAATGAATATGGGACAGCTGACAGATTGTGGTGTTAGCACATGAGTTTAAGCTAGCATCGTTAACTCACAAGACACATGCTAATTGAAATCAGGTGTGATGATGCAGGGTTGAAACTAAAATATGCTGGATAGCGGCCCTCGATGGACCAGGGTTCCCCACCCCTGATTTAAAGTTTCCTCTGTGTCAGAGCCGGCATTAGTCCATTATTTTCTCTGGATTAAGCTAACAGGACTCAGCTGACATCACTTTGTTTGGCCCAAAAAAAAAACTTTCTCACAAAAATGACTCTAAAAGCCTAAATAATTTATGTATGTGTTAAAAAATGTTTAAGACGAGTTTCTATTAAGTTTCTCTAAACATCGGTTCATGGGAGTCTCTAACCTGCAAGTTACTCTTTAAAGAGCCAAAACAATTATCATTTGCACAGTTTCTCTACTTTAAATCATGAATTAGTAATGGCGTTATTCTTTTATTATTTCATTAATAAATATTTTATCTATCAATTTAACACGGATATTCAATTTAATTCCAGTCCTGGAAGGCCCGTACACATTCCGTTTTTGTGGTTTCTCTGCTCCAACACACTAGATTCAGCGGTTGAATCACCTGTGCAGACGCTCATCAGGCTCTGCAGAAACGCTTGGTCACCTTGGTGAGAATGTGTTGTGAAATCAGGTGTGCTGAGGCGGGGTTAAAACTAAACGTGCTGGATACCGGCCCTCCAGACCTGGAATTGAATACCCCTGAATCTATCATCTAAAAGTTTAATCTTACTCAAGAGTTCATATCAAAACTGAATCTACATTCACACACTCCTGCTTATCGTCTCCACAGCTGTCACCTCTGTATTCAGAGTTAAGACTTTCTATCTGGTGAGAGATCTCTTGCAGCATAGAGCCTGAACGCCCTGAGAGAGAGGTGGAGAGTTTGGCGCCGCCTCTCAGCTGTTTGGAGAAACAAATTCCTGAAAATGACGCAAACACTTATCCTACATAGGTGTTTTACTGCTCTGTGACCTGCAGTTTCTCCAAAAATCTACAGTAAAATGATGAAATATGTATTCTGGTTATAGTTTACCTGAACCTTAATTAAAATCTGAAGATAACCGCTTTAGGATGTGGGATTTTAGACGGAGGTGAACTGGAGCTCCCAGAGAAAACCCCCAGGCAGCACAAAGAGTCACAGACAGGATTTGGACGGTGTCAGCTGTGACATAATTCTTGTGTTGCCTCATTTTTTTAGCTAATTCAAAAAACAACGAGCCTTCAGTAATGCTGGCTCTGCTGATCTCCACCTGTAAGGTGATCTGTGTTATTCTCAATAACCCTACTGGTTATCGTCTCCACAGCTGGGTGGAGTGAATTCAGAGTAAACTTTCCATCTATGGCACTTCCCCTTTTCCTTTATGATGTCACTAAGTTTTCAACACATGATTTGTCCAAGTATTGATATGTTCTAACATCTTCTAGCTATCTAATGATTAGTGGACCTCATTCAGAGATGTTCTAAGGTGTTTTTGTTAGTCTTCTCATGGTGTGTTGTGTAAAATCTAGAGGGACTTACTTATTTATCAGAGGAAGGTGATTACCTTTCCTTTTGGGTGCTTTAGAGGGCAAGACAACGCGATTCCTGAAACGAGTCGAGCATCCAGGCTGGTTATCTGGGTTGCCTTCCTGAGCAGAAGACGGATTTGCCACAAGCATATTCTCCTTTATTCTCCAGTGCCGCTCAAGAAGCCTTTTTTCGCGTGTTGCAAACGTTTTGTTGGTTTCTAACTTATGATTACTCTGTTGTAATTTACCATTTAGTTCAAGAATCTGTGCTCTCCTCAACTCCAGCTGCTTTGATAATTCTATTTTATCTTCTTCTAACTTTTTCATTTCGTTAGTTCTTATTCTGTCTTCATTAGCTGAGCGTTTCATTTGCTCCGTTGCACGTTCCAACTCTATCATCGCATGCTGCAGTTGTTTCTCCAAAGCATCACACTTATCTCTATGAGCCTTCCGATCCTGAGTTCTTGAGTCCAGCCACTTCGTATGTTCAGATTTATGGATATCATTTTCTAATTTACTTATTTCTTGATTGGCGTTTGACAATTCATCTGAAAGGACATTGTTAAAATGCTTGTATTCGCTAAGTTCGTTTTGGGCTATCCGACAGTTCATCTGAGAAGTGTGTAACTCTGTTTTTAGTTCAACCATCTGATCATTTTGATGTATCTGGGAGGCTTGTAATCTCTTTCCACAGTATTCATGGTGAAAGTTAAGTTTCAGTTGCTGCTCGTTGGTTTTTTCAGTCAAAAGATTAATCTGGTTGATGTGTTCAGCAGATTTGTTTGTTAGGTTGTGTATCTCATCTCTCAGTAACTCATTTTCGATTTCCAAATAGCTGGCTTTATGTTCGAAAGGCTTCAACATCTCGATCAATGTGTCTGCCTGGATGCGGCTGGTAGTTTCATTTTGTAATTGTTCTTCTAGTTCTAAAATCTTGGTTTGGGCCTCAGTGTGACATTGGTCCACGTGATGCATTCTAACATCTAACGTGTGTTTATTTTTCAACAGTTCCTCGTTTTCTTTGGTCAGAAAAGTAATCTTGTTTTGTAAATCATGAATTTCAAACTCCAGTAATCCAGCGGCGTCTCTCTGTTGCTTAACTTCGTAGAGTTCCTTCTCTGAATCTTTCAAGTTAATCCCTAACATTCGATATTCTTCTTGTAATTTCAATATTTTTTTGTGTTTCCTCCGAACGTCATCCTTAAGTAAATTAATTTGTTTATCTCTCTCTAACAATTGGTCGTGATGACATTGTTTCAATTCTGAGGTGACTGCAGAAATATTGTCTTCATGTTTATTCTTCATTGTGAAGAGCTTGTCTTGCAGTGTTTTATTTTCTGCCATATATCTCAAGAGTTCATCTATCAGATCTGGTTTAGGCACTCTGAGAAGAGCTTCAACATTCATATTTCCATTCATGTTGTCAAAAGTAGACATGTCGTTCTGAGCTGAGTCTTACCTGTTGCTGCGTCGAGTGTCTGGTGTGAAGTGAGTTTATGAGCTGCTTTGATCTATTATCTTTATCTTTATCTTTACAGTATGTTCTAATGGGAAACAGGCTTCAACACAAACGGTTGTTTTCCGCTTGGTCCTAGAGCTCTACCAGTGTGAATTTAATATAGCGTAATATTGTTTTTGGATGGTAAAAAGTGCAGGGGTCAAAACTTGACTTTGGAAAAAGTGGGGGGGACATGTCCCCCCTGTCCCCCCCCAAAATTACGTCCATGCAGGCAGCGATTTTCTGTAGAATTATTTTGGGACTTGTACTGTGTTGTTTTACTTTATTCTGTATTTTTTTCTGAAACACTATAATCAGTTTGGAATACAAGCTCTAGTTGTTGACCTTACTTTTAAGACAATTTCATTTTGATCCTTTTGCCTTCCTTCTGTGAGTCATTGAGGTAGGCCTTAATTTTGTATCAATGATTATTTCATAATCCTAATTGGATAATTTAGTAGATCTTTACTTGGGTTGCTCCTTGGTTCCTATTATGCACCTCGTTTGGTTACGTTGAGCCTCTTTTTGACACAGACACAACATGTTTTCAGAAAGCAAACAAACAAATCCTAAACAGGCCTATTGGAGCTCCTGTAGTGTCAGGGTCAGAATGCCCTCATCGCATGAATGATGTGTGCATGCCAGGGCTGCATCTGCACATCTTAATCCTGCAACTTTAACCCATGATGCCTTTTTGCAGAAAACTTCAGGATAGAAGGATGCTGACAGATTAGATACTTTTTTATTGTTGAGGTGAAATCCATTCACTCCCAAACTCCACTACACGCATCTCCTTTGAGATCAGAGACAGCTTTCTGTGGCTACTGCTGATGTGCATGATGGTGCTTGTGGTGAGATTGCATTTCATCCATGTGCACACACGGGGTGGGATGGGGGAATACAGATGTGCAGATTACCTTGGAGACTGAATTAGAGCTAAACCTGTTCATACATTCACATGCATTCCATTCACTCGCACCTGCCTCCCACAAACAGCCTGCACACTGTCAGGGTTTAAACACACACACACCTCATACTTCTCCAGTTGAGCTCCATGATGAGGAACCAAAAATGTTTGTTTTTGTTGTTTTAAAGGAAGGGAAGTTATGTGTGATGAGGAGGTCTAAATATGTGCAAAGATCCCTTCCTGCCCGTGTGTGCGTTGCAGGCTTTTGTGTTTAACAAGAGGTTTTTCTGCATGCTCAAGCCTACGTTGAGATCACTTTGAAGAACACAATCTGGACAATATGACTGGATTATTAAAAATCCACTTAAGGAGGCAACATGCATTGTGCTCACTGCTCCACTAACACTACGCCTTGAAGATTTCCATCAGATGTGATCGTTCTCCCAGAGCGGTGAGAGGAAACATCTCTGCTTTATAGGTTTCTCAGGTCAAGTGCTGCTTTGAGGTCTTTTATGCATACGCCAATAACACTTCCTGTCACATCCAGATGTACAACAGGACGAGTTCAGAGCTGAGACAGAAGGGAGGCAAACACAGTCATCATCTCTCTGCAAGTGGGAGCATGAGACGTATAATTCCATCTAAACAACATCATAAGTGACAGGGGATGGATAAATGAATACAAATGTTAACACTTGTTTGGAAAGGAAAACCCCAGACGACTGGGTTGTTAGATCACTGGCAGATAGCTCATGTGCTCATTTTGAAGAAAATCTGTACAGATCAACATCTGATATCGCACATGGGTGAAACAGAAACACACGATGTTACGTCTTCTATCGGTGGATAAGGAGAAGGACAGGGAGTGACACAGTGGCATGTGTTTCAGGTGTTACAATGGTAAACAATGATTTTAATAATTGATTTTAAAATGACAAAAAGCTCCAAATCTAAAAGTATCTATCTAAATCTAAAAGTAAACACACTGTTAAAATGGCCAAGGGTTTGCATTTAAAACAGACATCCAAATGCTCCCAAGCATTCACAAAACAAAGTTCACTGACTTAAGCACAAGTTTGGGAGCCAAGAGGAAACCAGCACTCTGGTCCATCGTCTATTAAAAACCTCTAAAAGTTGTTAAGCTCCACCAAGTTTAAACAACTAAAACCCATTAAAACACCAACAAATGGCGCACATGAGAGAACTGGCACAGATCCAGTCTCTCCCTTCCTCCTGGCAGCTCTCCTTTTTATGTTGCTCAGGAGGTGATCAGCCCAAGTGAGTGCAGCTGTGCAGGTAGGAGGAGGAGGCAAAGCACTGATTGTCCTCTGCTGAGTCAGTTTTCTGGGACAAACAGCAACAGCTGTAACACACGAACATGGAAATACATTTAAATACCAGTGATCCTCCATGTTTTCTAGACAGGAAGCACAATATCCTGATCCCCTCTGGTGGTTCAGAAAAGGAAAGAAAAAAGGCTGCTGCGCTAGTTATGAGCATCGACATATACATAGGTTATGAGTCATCAGGATGTGTGTGTGTGTGTGTGTGTTTCATTTCAACCTCACACCTGCTAATAGGAGATCTAGTGCGCCTCCATGTGGTGAAACCTTGCATGTTACAACAGCTTTTAACGAATGAGTCTCCAGACGAGCATGTTTCTGCTCTTACGTTTTTTTTTTCAATTGTTTACACACATTTTCTGAGAGCATGCCCCATATTCTCAGAACTCTACCCACAAATCCAGAAAATACACACACAATGGGCAAAACCCCTCACTTAACCTGCAAAATTAAACTTCACAGTCAAAACAATGTTATTTCTCCTCAAAATGTGATTTTGTTGTCAAATGACACACACAAACCATCATATGTATAGACATGTATAAGAACCAGCAGAACACTCATATGCTCAATGTTAAACACTATGATGAATGGAAAACACTTCTCCATTCATCATAACGACTTAAGCCTTTTTGGTTCAGTGTTACACCTACTACAGACAGTAAATACATGCATGTGTTGTTATTTCAGAATATTGTTTTTACACTCTGAACACACAAATACATGGTAGAAATTATTTTATTTTTCCCACTAAACATTGTACACAATGTTCATCCCATTCCCAAACAACACAAAGTTGCACACACAAACTACATCCAACAGAAATTTATTGTATACAGTTACAGTAAAACAATGACACTATGCTGCATCCTCTCTTCTGGCCACAGCGCCTCATCCACATCACAAGCAATGTTGTCCCTGGCCAAGCAGCGGGGGAAATATCTCCTAGCATGGCGATTCCAGCCATGAAAAGAATCAGCTGCTATATCTCCACATGCGTCCTCCATAGCTTGGAGAAGAGGTATACGGGTTTGTGGCTGTCGGTCATACACCTTCCATCTCCATGCAGAAAAAAATTCCTCAATGGGATTGAGGAATGGAGAATATGGAGGGAGATAAACAACTAAAAAGCGTGGGTGGCCAGTGAACCAATTTTGAACCACAGCAGCCCTGTGGAAACATACGTTGTCCCAAATGACAACGTGCCTGTGCTGTTCTGGACCATCTACCTGGTCTGGTGGAATGAGTGTGTTGTGTAGGGTGTCCAGGAATGTGATCAGATGGGCGGAGTTGTAGGGGCCAAGGGTAGCATGGTGATGGATGATGCTATGGTAGCCAAGCGCTGCACACATTGTGATGTTCCCTCCGCGCTGGCCAGGGACTTCAACAATGGCACGCTGGCCAATGATATTCCTTCCCCTCTTTCGTCTTTTTGTGAGATTGAATCCAACCTCATCAATGAAGATGAACTGGTGCTCCACAGCAGCTGTCTCAAGTTCAAGGACTCTCTGAAACACATATGACAATATCAGAAATAAACGTGGAGTGGTCACTATTGTGAAGCACAGTCATTATGATTACAATATTGAAATATGTATAATTTACTGTACACAGTGTTGAGTGTATGCATCAATTGCGGGACTCACTTGAACATAGTTATATCGCAATTCTTTGACTCTTTCTGAGTTTCCTTCAAATTGCACCCTGTTGACCTGTGGCTCGGATCTCATCAGAGATTACGGTCCTTGGTCTTCCTCTTCCTCCCTGTCCTCCTCCTCTTACTCTCACTCCTCTGACTCTGCCTCTGTTTCCAAAGTTGGCATCCATTGCTCCAACACAGAAGAGCTCACCTGTTGCCCTTTTATGCTAAAGTTCTGTTTGCTGATTGTAAAACTATGTGACGGGTGTTTGCCCTTGTGATGAGTCAGTGTGCATATTTGAATAGCAGTGTGTTCCTTGTGAGAACAAGATAGTTCCTGTATGAAAATTGTGCCAACAGCAGAGAATTGTGTGTAGTGTTTTGAGAAGTGTGTTTTAGATTTGAAATTTGAGTGCAAAGCAGGAATTGTGCTTGTAGTTTTGCAAAATTGGTTAGGGGGGTTGGTTACTTGGTTACATGTTGTGGTAATTGTGTCTCAAGTACCAGAAAATGTGTGTAAACAATTGAGAAAAACTGTAAATGTTTTGTATTCAGACACAGCACTTCCACACGTTACTGAGACAAGTGTACTAAAAGGTCATTATGAGACATAATATTTCAGAGTAATAATTACTTTTCATGCACTAAATATCTCTGGGAACATTCAGGATGTGATACACAGTGATCAAGATAGAACTTGTGATTTTGTTCAGGAACACACGCTAAGGGCCCAAAGCAGCAGTTGTATGTCTGAGACACTTGAATATTTCCACGTGTGGCTCGTCTCTACAGTTCATGAGCAAAAAACATTATGAAGACGCCAAATAAAATGCAATTCAAGTTTCTGTTATGTAACATATGCTAGTTTAACCATTTAGCCAAGCCAGCTTCCTTTATTAAGCAGATTGCAAACAGCAGAGCTGAAAAAAGCACTGAAAGTAAAAGTTATACAATACATAGAAAAAGCAATAAATAAATAAATAATATATATATAATATATATACATATACATATATATATATGTATATGTATATATATATATATATATATATATATATATATATATATATATATATATATATATATATATATATATATATATATATATACATATATATATATATATATTAAAACCCAAAACAAAACAATCAAACCATCGTTGGTGCTTTGGAGGTGCTGCAGTCATAATTAATAATGTGAGTGAATGAGACTTACAGCAGATTGGGAGCGTGTGCACCTACCATCCACTGAATGAACCGTTTCAAAGGCTCGGCTCTCTGGAGTGGAGGGGTTCTCCAGGTGGAAAACACACCTCCTGACCTCACCGCTTCTTCAGCTCTGAATCACTGAGGCATGGATGTAATTTTCACTTTAGAAGTGGGGGGGACACAGGGGTGGGAGGGTGTATCTTTATAGTATGTTCTAATGGGAAACAGGCTTCAACACAAACAGTTGTTTTCTGCTTGGTCCTGGAGCTCAACCAGTGTCAATTTAATATAGCGTAATATTGTTTTTGGATGGTGAAAAGTGCAGGGGTCAAAGCTTGACTTTGGAAAAAGTGGGGGGGACATGTCCCCCCTGTCCCCCCCCAAAATTACGTCCATGCACTGAGGCGTGTTGGCTGCCAGTGTCAGAGATTTCACAACCACATAAAACTCATAAAATCACCAAAACTTCAGCTTCTTTATTCTGTGATAAATAAAACAGGATGAACACAAACTTGTCTTTAGGTCGACTCCTCTACACACCAGAGCTGTGGCTGTGCCAGCTCCATCAGGAGCCTTAGTAGCAGAACACATCCCGTGTGCTCATAAAGTCTCCATGAGGAGAGACAGTTTCTATCCAGCTTTGCGAGACATGATGATTACAGTTTCTTGTTTTCTGTATTGATTTTGTCTTTCATGGATGCAGCCTTACAGTTCAACAGCTAAATGAAATTTAAAGTTTTATTTATTCAAAGTAAAATGTCATTAAAAGCACAACTATCAGTCACTTCACACATTTGTTTATATAAGCATAGCAGTCATGTGGTCACGTCATTATAGTTTTTCTATCATACTTCTGTAGCGTTATGAAAATGCCATTTCTGCCCTTAACAGCTGCCCTTTGACACAGTGACAGTGTGCATAAATTGCCAAGGTCGTGTGCTTGCTTTTGATGTTTACATTACAGCCAAGAAGACAGAAGAAGGACGAAGAATGCTTTTCATTAGTTAATCAAAGAACCTTATTTTTAATAAAGCTAATCAAAACAACTGTTGGTCAATAATAATCAGGTGACCGATCTGTGAAATCACAATGTTATGATTTATGTGTTTAATGAATTACAGGACTTTTCTTAACTGAGCTAGACATCCTGATTCACATAAGGTAAACACATGACACATTGTTCACTCATCCAATCAGAACTTCCGTTCTGTTGCGGGGCAGAGTACTGAGGTGTTTACTTAATCTGTCCACTCTGATTTGCTAAGAATTATAAACAACTAAGTTAATAAAACAGAACAATGCCATTTTAAGTCAGTTCGAACGAAGCTCTTCAACGTAGTTCAACTTGGTTCAACGCAGTTCCAACCAAGTACTCGACCAGCTCTCAAATCCATCATCGCTAAGTGAAGTGCAGACTGGCCAGCTGTATTTTCTACTTTTAAGCTGAGAACTGTCAAACTGGAAAATTCTGTCATTTTATCAACAAGACGATGGTTCCTTCAGAATAAAAGCTGACCTCTCTACGTGACGCTGACACCTGCCGTTGCTACCGGGAGTCGATTCGTAGACTGGATTGTCGTGCTGCAGACGCTGTGCTATCAGTTCCAGCACCAAAGGAGGGTCCGAGGACCTGGCATTCCGGATCATACACGGGAGTCTCCGAAGGTACGTAGTTTGGCATAGATGGCGTTTCATCTCGCTTCCTCCTGAAGTCCCTCGTGGTTAGTTAGTCAAAACAACATCTTACACCCAGACTCGCCTGCATCAGATGGAGATTCTGAACTGACACACACACCAACACTTCAGCATCCAAATCCATATGCATCCATCATAGAGAGTTAGTCCTGGTGATTGTTTCGAATAATTATAAAATTAAATATTCTTAACGTCCCATATTTCTCTTTTCTTGTCTCTAAGTCAATGCAAAGTGTTTGAATAAAATTCCCTGTGGTAAAAACAACCTCTTCTGATTCTAAGGTAAGATTAATCTCTGGACCTTAATAAAGTGTAAGAATATACCAACTATATTCCGCTACACTTCCACCTGTGACTCTTACCAGATCCTGTTTGACCTCTTCACCTTTGACTGTTATGGTAAAAAGTACCACCAGGTGGAGCTATTGGTCATTTACAGAACAAGGTGATCAACACAATCACAGCTACTGAGTATTCTTCCTGTGTTAGGATTATGTCTATTTGGATTTCCAGAACCATTCAAACCAACATATTGGCTGTCTGATTTACACTGGAAACACTGTTTATTCACTCCATTTCTAATTAATGAGGAACTATTATAAAACATTTCTTCTCTAACATTTGTAGTGAAAATTATTTGACTACATTTTTATTAATAATGAACAATAAGATGTGATATTCCATATAAAATATGAAACATCAAACTGATTCACCTTTCAATGTTTAATCAGACGATTCGAGTGTTCATTTATTTGTTCAGGGACCATAAACACGCTTCGTATTAATTCAGACAGTCAGATAGTTTATAAAAATGAATTGATTTCTTTTCCCTAAACTAATGATTATACATGACAAGATATGAATGCAATGATATGTAATGTAACGAAGTGATTTAATGTGATGTGTGGAACGTTGTAATGGAAGCTAGATGTTGTGAAACCTTCTAGGTATCTGAGAGAATTAGTAGTCTGGGATGTAAAATAAATTTGGCTGTTTGTTTACCTAGAGATTTATTTATAAAAAACATCCGACGCAATCTGTGTCGAGTCTACGCACCCTTTTGTGTGCAGATTCTCGTGCAATCCAGGGGGTCAAGAGGTCGTGCTGGTCACTTCCGGTGGAGTGGACCTCTGATATCAGGAACCCATAGATTAGCTCCGATAGGACCCGTCTAGTCTGATGTCTCTACAGGTGACGGCAGGAAGCTGGAATGTTTGTTTGCGTCTAAGTCTGTTTGTTTGGCTCTTAGAAGAGCCGTTTGTCTGAAATCAGCTGCAGCGTTACAGACAGGGGCGCCTCCAGAAAATTTCGATAGCGGTGGCCAGATGGGGCCAAAGAAATTTGTGGGGTGGCACACCAAATTGGTCTTTGTGGTAACTCTGGTTGAATTTAGTCTGTGGCAATGTGCTGCACTGCGCCTTTATTCGTTTTTATTAAAATAACAGTACGTATCCAAAACGTTGAACTTAAATTTTACAAACAAAAACATTTGATTTAAACATCTTGTTCCTTCAACACATATGATTATTCCAACTTATGGGCTGTAAAGTTGTTTATAATTCAGGATGACTTCCTCAGAGTGAAAATGCAGGAGTCTGCATGAGGCCTTGGGTGAGAATGTTTTGTCTTCTTGTACGAAAACAAGAACTGAGCAGAACTTTCTGGATTTGGAGGCCAGACAGATGGTTTTCGTGTCTGCAAATGATGGTTATTTCCTTTTCAATTAGATGGTGAAAAACTGACCGCTTGGTACATTACATTTAACCCCAGTAAAACAACCACTAGCCTGATCTTCATGTAGTTACTTAAACGTAGATTAACCCAAAACTCCTATGCTAAACCTGTTTTCACGGGTCAAAAAACAAACTAAAGTGGGTTTATTTTTATTCTTCACCTGGTCCCAACTCTGAATATCAATTCTGATAAAGTAAAGCAAGCTATAAGAAGTAAAGAAAAAGAAAAAATGGAACAAATGAGAAACATGTTCAAGGGGAGTGGGATGAAGCCCTCGCTTATAAATCCCTCTCCTTGTTTATTTAATAGTCTCCAGATTAATCAAAATGTGTTCACCAGAACAGAGGAAGCAAACTCTGAATATCCTGGCAAAGCTTTTATTGTGATAATGGAAAAGTGGACACAGATCAAGAATCCACACAACCACCGATAATCATTTTCAGCCTCAGCAGATCCAGGCAGAAGTAGAACCCGAGTCAGACCTTCTCTAGCTCTTCCACCAGGGCGCAGCATCTTCACACCCAGCCTCCATAGCGGAGCTTATT